CAAAATTGATAACAGTGATGAAGTGGGAACGTCTCAAGTGCACAAGCCTTAACAAAATCAGAGTGGTAAGTGTCAGCATGAAATAAAGATAATTAGACTTTGATTTAAGAAAGTGTCGTTTATTCACTGCATTATTATTGCTACTTATTGCTACATGGGTGCTTGTTAACCCTCTTGCCATTACAGTTTAATAACAATCCAACAGAACTTGAAATGAAATTTCTTAGTGGTTTTAAAACAAAATAAACATACCACTGATCTAAAGTATCATAAAGAAATTGATAGTTGATTTTGAGAATTATTTTAGAGGATTTATTATTGATTAGACACTTTTTTATCCGTTTTAGAAAATACAAAATTTATGTATTTTCATAGGCAGGTGCTGAAATCCAATTTTCACTGGTGCATGTATGGTTGCATATGAGATTATATACCTTTATAATTATGTATGTACATAATTTTTAATTTAAATTTTTATTATAGGTATACTTACTTTTCATTATGTACATATTTTCAATTATCAGTCTCTCCTCTTAGATAAAAAGTGATTCATAATTTGTTAATTCCACTGTACTTCACGAATTAAAATTATGTACGTAATTTTAATTTCTAAATTTTATGTGTATATTTTTAATTCTGAATTTTCATTATGTAATATATTATATAATTTCATTATTCGGCTTTGATTAAGACTATGCGGTTGTTTTCGAAAAGGTGATAGAAAACAGTTAATTGGTTGATCCTTATAAATGATCAGAAAATTTTTAAATTAAAGAAATGGGATAAGTAACTGTAAAAATGCTAATACCTATTAAAAAAAAAACTGTTTTAAGCGTTTTTTTTTTTTAATTTTATGTGTGTTATATGATTTCAAAAAGGAGGATAAGGTCTTAAAACTAGCATAGTTTGCAAATTCGTTTGTCAGATTTTGATAACATAATTTTGTTTGTAGCAGACTGAGGCAAAATGTGTAAAGTCAAATTTTTTGTAAAGGTGCTCTCTACCCTTCCTATTAAACTTAAATCTGTTCAATTTTGGTAGTAAAAATTACGAATGTTAAAAGTTGCGTATTATTCAAAATTCATTTGCCAGATTTTGATTTTAGAAGACAGAGACAAAATATGTGAAGTTAAATTTTGTAGTAGGGTCTTCTTCACTCTTCTTATTGGACGTAAAACTTTGCAATTTCTGTTAGTCAAAAATTGTAGGCGTTATAGCTTGCATATTATTCAAAATTTGTTTGTCTGATTTTGATAATTTTGTTTTTAAGGACCAGAACAAAATGTGTAATGCCAGATATTTTGTAACTGTAGTCTCCATCCTCTGTTTTGAACCTGAAATTTTGCAATTTCTGAAAGTAAAAATTACAGGTGTTAAAATTTGCATATTTTTCAAAATTTGTTAGTCAGATTTTTTTTATTTCTATATACGGATCATTCGATCCTTCGATACAAGTAACATTAAGTCACTGATATCACGGTGGCACATAGTATTAATTTACATTAAATGATAATTTTATGTTGTTATAATTCAAAATTCTTCCCTTATATTGTTTTGCATATTTGCAACACAGAAATTAACAATATATAAAACGAAATGTTACTTAGCACCTTATCAAGCACACAGAGTTGACGTTTGTAGTAAACAAAAGTGGATAAAAGCGAATAACCGACCATGTCATACTTCATATTATGATATAAATCGATATTATAAAAAAGAATAATTTTCTCAAAAAGTATTAGTCGTAGATAGTAACATGCTCATATTGGACGAAGGGAAATAAAATTTTGCACATGATGAGCGGACAAAAAATATAGCTTTCCATTTAAAAAAATATAGTTATGCCAGCTCGAAACAATTTATTTTGAAAGTGGTAAATTTCAATGAATCTGAAATGAACATGTTTGCGTTAATAGTGGAATTGTATGCCATTTCTTCCACAAGCTATGTTGGAAAATAGCACACCCCTGTGTGCTTTCGTTTCGGAGATATTCAAATTAGCGCAGTATACTGTAAACGCGTATTTATTGATTTAGTGTGAATTTCATGACGCCTTTTAGACATAATATATGGTTAACAAAGTGGTATTTAATGAGGCATTCCATTTGAAAAAATGAAGTTAGGTAGCCTTCAGGAAAAATGGGACACTCTGTATAATCGAAAATAATTTTAGGATATGAAGATACTTATATGGCAGCACTTTTGTAAGAAACTTTNATCGCATGCAGATTCCTTTGAAATAATGGGTAACTCCATTAACGCCTTTACGTGATTTTGCACTATGATTCTTTTATTGTCGAACCGACCTTTTAACAAATCAATTGCTATACAATAATTTTGGTCTGATGATTCTAATGCGCTTATAATAGACGCCGCTTCGCCCTTTAAACAGGATCTAAGATAGTGCAATTTTTGAATGTTATTCAGATTTTGGTTACTGTGGACCATTGAACAAAAAGAGTTATAAAAATCTAACCATTTATCGTATGCACCGTCGAAGGTGACCAATTCAATTTTTGGTAAACGTATATTAATTTGGGGATTATCACTCGCATTACTTGTGTTCTCCACTGAGACAGCTCGAGATTCAATGAGATCATGTGCTCGACTAACGATTGCATAATACAGATTTTCAAATTCATCAAACTCATTAGATGGTTCTTGGGTTAAAGATTCAATTTCTGCCTGAATTTCTTCGAAATCATTTAAACTATTTTCTACTCTTTGTAAACGTAACTTAATTTCTGTCGTGTTATTACGATTATTTTCATTATTTCCGAAATTTGTAAACTTTGTCAGATTAGCCTTAAGTGTTGCCCCTTTTCTAATTAACTGATCTAACTGATCGGTATTTGGCATTTTGAAT